AATGAAAAATTGGATAAATAAGAAAGGGAAAAGACATTTCTCATCACAGAATACTAAACATACTTTGAAAATTGCAGAAATTTGTTCATTAAATGTTTTAAATAACACTGATAAGAAAAAAAAAATAACGAAAGTAGTACATTTATTAGCAAAATGTTTCAAAATGTAAAATAGTTTCAGTTGAAATGATTAATTGAGGTATGTATTATAAAATATAAGCGACACTGCAAAAATAGCTAAAGTAAAAGTAGTGAATTCAAATTATCCATAATTTTCGAAATTCGAAAAAAAACATCATCTAATGGTCTTATTAATATCTATGATACAATTATTTACAGTTCAATGAAATATTAATGACTCTTCGGGCTATTTGAAAATGAAACATTTACAATTTATCAGGAAAAAAAATCTTAAGGTAAGTTCACACTTCCGAACATATTAAGATATGAATAATCAGGCGATTCTTTACTTATTTTTGCTGAACGGAATGAATTTCTTCGTGAAAATTTATTGCATTCTGCAAAAAAAGGAAATAATTAAAGGAAAAGCAAATATTAATAATGAAAAATCTTAAAAATATAACAAGCAAACTTTAGTTTCATTCAATAATTTGCAAAATTTCACTTCTCAATTATAATTAACTTTGTTTATATTTATTTCAAAAATGGTATCGTATATATGAAAGAATAATAAATGAAATGAAATATTGTGATTTGCTAGTGGATTAAAACAAATTGACCAAATTAGCTATTAAAAGTTTAAGAAAAAAAAAATTAACTATCAGAGGGTAAGTATTCTCAGAATTAAGAAGTAATCCTATAAAAGTATTCGAGTTTTTTAGTCCTTAAATATAGGACGGAATTATTAGAATTGCAAAATTTTCATCTAATATTACCTGTTTTCTTATCACATATCATTTGATCACCATTTTTTATAATTGATTCAGTCTTTTGTCGTCGTTTTGCGATAATTTTATTATAAAATTCCATCTTAAAAAATGGTTAAATTGTGCATAATTTTAATTGAAGTTATTTGTAAACGACAAATGTTTCATTCGAAATGAAGTACGAATAAAAGAGAACAAAAGAAGTAACCGTTCTTATTTTAGTAGAATATTCGAATAAATTTTAATTCACAAATTTTAGATAAAAAAAAATAGAGCAAAATTTAAACAAATTGATAAAAATAATTTTCACACTTATCTTAAAACAATTAAATGCAACGATAGATATAAGAAGCTGAAAATTTTCTATTCACAAATGCAACAGAATGTTTTATTTGTTTCATAAATTCTCAAAAAATACCAAATAACACTTGAAATATTCTTTATATATTACTTAGTTTACACAATTTTGTTCGTTGATGACGTTAGTGAAATGATCAATGATTTCTTATTTACGTAGAGATTTATCTTTTAGTTTAATAAATTTTATAATTAACTTTCGTCCATTTTTATTACTTATCATTTTTTAATAATTTCTTCATGTAATATATCTAAAATTTTCTAAAATAATTAGCAGTGCAACGTTATTTTTTACAATTTCTTACACATAATATGAAGTTAACATGCAGTAAAATTACTATTTAAAGAAATAATCAAATACTGATTAGCTAGAGCGAATCAATTGTTAACCAATTAGTCGGTCAGTGGCTAGTAATTTTATTATTGGTAGATTAGTAATTGGGTTTATTATAGTTGACCAATAATTGCTATCATCAGTAAATGGTTTGCTGATCACTCAATCAGTATCGATTGATCAAAAATTATAATAAAACGGTGAAGAAAAAGCAAAACGACGAATATAAAAACAAACTAACTAATGTTAGTTTTGCTCAATTGATCACGATTAAATTAATTAATTCAGTTAGAGTAAAAAGTTGAACAGTAATTAATGGTTTCTCATTTCTATTAACTTTCATTCAAATAACTAAACTTTGGTACTTAAATATCATTGTTAGAATTTATTTCACAGTCGATTAAATCGATAATCTTTTTTAAATATTGATAGCCATACTAATGTAATTTCTTTTAGATAATGATAATATGCAAAAGAGGCAATAAAAAAAAAAGAAACATAGGATTTCTTAGAAAAATACTTGCAGTAAATAAGAATTGACACCGAAATATCCAAATATAGAAAAAAAGCAGAAAGAGAGAATAAATTTAATTTTTTTGCATCATTTTTAATACCAAAGAAATTCCACAAAAATATATAATTTTACTTCAATTTATTCAAAATTCACTAAAAGAAAGAAATTTTCTAATTCAAATAGCAAGTTTGATAGCGTACTTAAAGAATCTAAGTTAAAATGCTTTTTTTTTTAAAAGAGAGTTTGAAATGAATTTCATTATTTTGAAAGAATGTTTTTAAAAAAAAACAAATGAAAGTAAGAAAAATGGTGATTTCGCCAAACTACTTGTACTTAAGATGATGCAAGAAAATGAATTTAGTTTGATGACAAAAAAAGTTCAAAAAAAATTTTTTTCTTATTTACCATTTAACATCAGTTGTTAAGCACTTTGAGGGGAAAATGAAAAAAAAAAAAGGAAAAAAACAAAATGATCATTCATCAACATGTTGATAAACAAATTACAAATGAAAAACAAGCTCGAACTGAATTATTCGGAAAAAAAATTGAAACTTTGTTTTCTTTTATTTTTTAGATACCTTTAATTTGAATGATAAAACTTTATCACCTGTCACCTCTATTCTCGTTCTATTACTTTTTAGTTTTTTCTCAACTTTTTTTCTTACCTGAAAATTTATTTTACAATAATCATCATGGGAGTGCTCTTTATTGCATATTTTTTTTAGTTATGAATTATTTATAATAGTTTTTAATTATTTAAAAAATGACAATTTAACGATCATAGCAGATGTTATATTTAAAAATAATTATTCTACCATTTCTTTTCTTATGTCCAATACTTGTAATTACTGAAATAAGAAATAAGGAGAAGGAAATATTAAAATCATTGCGATGGATTAAATTTTTATTTGTGTTGTTTTTACAACATTCTTGAATGAATGACGTAAGTAAGTGTTAAGTGTTGATACATTCGCAAAGATTCTCTTTCAAATTTGATTTTTGATTTATTACATTCCAATAGAAAAATATTTTCATTTCTTAAAATTTTTTTCTCTTTCTAAGAGTGACAAATTTAAGTCAGTTTTCAAAATTTCCATTAAAAATAGTTAAATAAGCTAAATTAATTATAAACTTAGGGTTTAAAAAATTTTTCTGTTCTTACATTTAATTATATATCAACGTATGAATTAAAAAACAAAAAGGAAGGAAGGAATGATTGCAATAAAAAAAGATTGCAATTTGTATGAAATTGACAATTTAGATTTTGAAATTAGATATATTCAGTGTTTAATGAATAATGCATAGAAATTTAATAAAATAAAGTAAATTGAATATTATCAGATAATATAAGATGAAAAATAACATCAAAATATAGAACTAATAAAAATCGCAAAATAATTAGAAGACAATAGTCCTTTTTCTCTTTTATAAAATTCTTTTCATTTTTAGGCGTTGTTTGTTTTTGATATAAAATCAGTTCATAATATGAATTACTAAAAATTTTCTGGAGAAAAATTTATGAATTCAAATCTCACTTGTTTTTGAAATTTGTAGGAAGGAATTTGAATTTCGCTCATTTTCAATTTTATTTGCTTTGTATTTCCTTTACCACTTGCATATTTTAATAGCTTTAAAACAATTTTAATTTTAAGTGAAAAATGAATCGGTCATCAATTAAATTTTTCACTGAAGTTTTTTGATGATTGTGCTTTGAAATTATTTTTTTTTTTTTATCAATTCCATAATAGAGAGAAGAATGAAGTAGCTAAATGCAGTGATCATGTTGGCATGTCTTGCATACGATGATGTCTGTGAGAATGTAACAAATGTGGAAGCTAAGCTCGGCCAAACAGTACAGTTAAAATTCAGTAAATTCACCGGCAATATTGATATTGAATTGAAGTATCCCGAGAATGGTGCAATTTATCAAAAGGCTATAATCAAAGATGGCAAAACAACAAAATACGGGGTAAATTATTATTATTTTTTTTTTTGTTCATATTACGAACAAGAGAAAGATTTAACTTAGATATAATTCATTTGATGGCATTATGACAATAAAATATGCTTGGAAGTATTTGAAAATAATTCAAGTATCAATTCACTTGGAAACAGTTTTGAAGCAAATCATCATTATTACTATTATTATTATTATTACTATCATTATTTCTATTATCATTACTTTATTTTTGTGATTAACACGTTACAGATGGAACGTTTTGGAAATCGGATAACCTACATAAACGGCAGTCTTATCATAAGAAATGTAAAGGAAAGTGATGCAGCATCATATACATATAAATTAGGTCATTATTCGCAGAAAATAAAACTTATTCTTTCATAGCAACTATACATTTGAATGTAATCATCTTCCTTGATATGGCTTTATCACTTTGATACCACTCGTTGTAATGATAAGGATAGCGTCCAAATAAGTAGTGAATGAAAGTTCATAAAGAATTGTTTTACTTTAATTAATTGGATTGTGAAAAATAAGGAAACATCTTTACATTGATGTGAGGAACAATTAAATCAAAACAGGACCAAAATTGAATTTGAAAACATATGCTTTTAGAAAATTTGGAATGGGAAGAAGGGGTAAGGAAACTATATTAAAACATAGCATGATTCTTTGCTGATATTAGAACCAATATAATAGTATTTAATTTATGTTATGGATGCAATCAAACACTACTACATTGCTGCATAGAACAATTTAACTTACTAAAGAATTATATAGCAGAAAGGGTATAGGAATGATAGAAATTTTAACTGAATTAATAAATCACAAAACAATATATATATATATGAAAAATATATGAAAAAATAACGAACTGTACCATCTAATTCACTGTTCTAATAGTTGTAACAAATGCGAAAAATTTATCACTTTGCATTTATATTTGTAATTATTTGCGTGCATTATCATAATTAGCGATAAACCAATCAACAGATTCTTTAATTGCTATTTCGAATGGTGTAAATTTGAAATTTGGCAAGTATTTGCGTAATTTGGCATTTGATGCAGTCTTCTTATATTGTCCATCAGCTTTTGTTTTGTCATGCACTATTTCACCCTGAAATAATTTCAGATTAACTTGTCCATCATTTACTAGAAATAAATGCCTATTGAAACTATGTTTCAACTGACGAAGTTAATTTCTAATAGTATACAAATCATTTTTAAAGGATACTTTAAAATCGAAGGCTCTGACAACGGCATGAACAGCATCCATAATTGATACTTCGTCTTCTTCTCCCACTGATAATATAATTGGATCAATTTCCTGAAATTTGATACAGTAACGCAAATTCCTAAGAAACACAACTCAATTCAAGTGAAGTACGGAAGAATGAACTTCGTATGATCTTGCGACCCAAATGAAAAGTCGAGCCAAATCTAGAGAGTAAATAAACTGGCGCAATGGTGTTCCACTGCCAAATACCTGAAAAAAGGGTGAGCAATAATATTCGAATATGATAAGCATTATTTCAATGCTTTTGCAAAAATTTTTTTGAGAATCACATGTCTTTAGCCTTTTCCTTACCTAGTCCTTTATGCGGAATGAGAAATTTGCTTAAGAGAAGAACAAAGCAGACCAAAAAAAAGAAGAAAAAAAGAAAGCGGAGAGAAAATTTTCAAAGCATTTCATGTTAACGCAATGTTAATTGCACTAACATGACACTGGTATCATAAGCGGCTCAAATGCAACCTCTAAGGGTGTTCCTTCATACTTCGCAATATAGGTTTTGTGAATTAAAGCCGGAATGACATGTCCATCTTTCAAATTATAATTGTCATGCGGTCCAAACACATTACATGGTATTACAGATGTATATTTTCTGTAAATTTGAAAGAAATTTTAGAAAAGTAACAAATATTGTTCACGGCAATTTTTACTGTGTCTAACGTCAAGTAATATAAATGAGAATTATGAAATAAAATAGACTTGAATTTGATATTAGATGAATTTGGAAGTAAACGGAATATCATATTAAAAGTGAAAAAAATCTTAATATTTCACTTACCGACCAAATTCTTGCGCATATCCTCTATTAAGTACATCGATCATTCTTTTCGCATACGAATAACCAAAATTACTGCTATGAGGAGGACCATTATGAACCTATAAAATTGACAAATATCATTAAGTCTACAAAAAAGAGAAAAAAACAATTTTCAAATTAGTATGAAAATAAAACATCCTATAATGATAATGCAATGTATAGTTAATTATTCATTAATAATGAAGCAATGCAAATTTAAATGACATTACTGTATGTTAATCAGTCAAAACAAACCAGTTCGATGACTAAATGGAATAGTACGAAGGTTAATATGATCATTTGCTTTGATAGACTAGTAGGCTAAATTCTACTTCCGATTACTTAAAACACTGTACAAAAAAATACTTACCATAGTTTCATCGATTGGATACGTAGTTTTATCAGGAAAGACACATGTTGATAGACATGATATACATTTTACAACATCGAATTCATTACATGCCATCAGTACATTGTCATTAATTTGCTGAAGCAAAATCTATTCGAATGTAATCCTTCTGTATCTATCTATTAAAACAATAATTTCCAACAAAAAAATATTTATTAAAACAACTAAAATTTCCGACAAATAACGGTTCTGTAAAAAAAAATTATGATATTTAGTGGCTAGCACTGCGTATTATTTAATCAAAAAAATTTTAAATTTATAATCAGAATAACAGAAATATTTATAAGTGCCGTCCAGTAGTGTGGAGATGGTGCATTGGTAATATGCTTGAATAACAGCCGCTGAAACAACGAGTTCGAGTCTCGAGTAGCAGGCAGTGATGAAAACACTAGAGTCTCAGATTTATATTATGATTCGAAAAAGTGCTCATCTCCTGAGTCTGCAGTAGAATTCCTCTGTAACTGTTTGTCTGTCACAAGGGAGGTCCGGTTAAGTAGTTTAATAAAGAGGGTTCTGAATTACCATATTTTTCCGAAAAAATTGCAAATTACAATGGAGATTGTGGAAAAGACCGCCAACCATAGCCGCTAAATGAATCACGTGAGAAGGTCTGCACTTCATGAATAACTTTCTTGTAGCTTCAGTATCTGTTAAATCACAATCATTTCGTCCAACGAATATCCAGGTTTCATTTGGTCGTGCTTCTTCAGTTGTTATTATCTACAAAAAGATTTTTACCATATGTTTTAAGAAACATACCGTTATAAGATGAACAAATCATGGTATTAACTCTTACCCAAAAATATAATTGTCGTAATTTTAATTTGATTTATTGTGAAGAAAATTACGGTAAACCGGTTAAGTAGTTTAATAAAGAAATTTTGATATAGAGAATGAGTGATATAAACATAAGAATATTTTTGCTTAATAATTCGCTTATTTCTCACATAATAAAGACAATTTTCTAAATTTAATTTTACTTCTTTTTAAAGCTAATTTACATATTTGAAAATTTGAATTACCTGTGTGTAGAAAGCAATTTCAATTTGAAAGGATAATATTTCACTTATTTAACAGTATTCCTTTACCACTGTACTCATACTGAATTTTTTAACTGGAAGATACGGTACTCAGATAAAAACACAAGTTATAAATTAAAAGAAACAAAAGTGTTACCTTTTCAATGGAGCGTCCCACAAGACCTGTTCCACCGGTTACCAATACTGTCATCGATTGCTCTCGATCCATAATTTTGTGCCTAGTTTCAAACCAGCCTGTAAAACTAATGGAACCCAAATTAAAAGACAACACATAAAAGAATTATTAAAATACTGCACGTAAAAGAAAAACACTTGCCTGTGGTGTTCATCCCTGCGTATGCTTAAATTTTTTAGGACAACTGCTTCCCTTGTGAAAAAAGAGCCACCGACTTAAGCGTTATATGACATGCCGTTGTTCCAGCTATCTCTCATGGCTCAGCACAACTAATTCCCGCAATGTCTCATAAACTACACTTAAAAGATAATTTGAACACTTCCTATCTCTCCAGTGCATATACCTTTTTGTATGACTTGGCTTTTTCAGATTTAATCAACATGGAATGTTAAAAATTCCAAATCATCATAATGTAATTTTATTTCTAATGAAGATACACGTGTCACGCGATAATAACCTACTTCATAGCCATTCTACTCAGTAGAAAATAAAATCAACTACCTCACATTTACATCGCCTTTTTTTATTTGGACTAAATTTATCCTCAATTTAATTTTTGAAACTGGTCATTGCTACTTCAATTTGGAAATTTACACTAAAAATTTTCAAAATTAAACTAGTACATAAAAATCCGTTTTTCTTTATGTTTTCAAGTTCTCAAGAGTTGAATGTTTTGGTTATGCTATGAAAAAAAGTGCGTTATAAAAAAGAGACTACAAACCAACTGGCATTTCCTTTGACCTCATACTGATACTTTAATTTGTATTCTAATACATAACAAAGTGGAAAAGAAGAGGAAAACAAATGTAAAATATAAGAGAATAATGATAATAAATCACTGATGCTACCCAAATACAGTTTGAATACATTTATGGACTGCTTCTTCTGCAATTACGCAAGTTACTCTTGAAAAATCATTGGAAAGTGGGAAACAATATACTAAAAAGTAAACGAGATTCCTGCAAAAATGAGCAAGAACACCACAACGGTAACAAATAAATATCCAGAAAAAATGGAAACAATTGTATCAATTCTTTCTAAAAACCATCCGGTCGTTTAACTGCGTATTTTTTCGTATAATCTTCTGCTGTCTTATTGAATTTTTTCCTATCTTTCGTAAATTCTTCGGCAAGATCTGCTCGCAATGGATGGTCAGGTTCTGGTTCGGTAATCAAACCAAGCAATGCATTCATCACTGAAATTCACCACTCTTCCTTGAATTTTTCGTTGCACTATGAACTACGATACACAAAAATTGTGAAATAAGTAAAGCAAGAAAATATTCTTAGTTTATTTATTTCTTATTGTTACTCACAGTAATTAAGACATACAACATAGGCAATCTCTGAAACGGTTAATTTCAAATAACTAACTAGTGTGTTGACGGCATAAAAAAAAAAAAAAAAAAAAATATCTAACTAGAAATAACTAACTAGGAAGTTGGTTTCGTAAAACTAGACGACGAACAAGACTACTGAGTACAAATAAGCCATATTACAAATAAATTATATTATATCACTTTTTAAAGCTTTCAGACGTGTTCTGTGGATAGTAAGGAAAAGCATGATCGAAACTTTTATTAATAAGTAATTCTGAAACTTTATCATCAAAATGCAAGATTCAAATTTTTGAGTAAAAACTTTCCCTTGAAAACCAAACTCTAAAATGTAAAAAATGACCTTGTTCGGTTTTGGTAGCAGGTTTCCAGTTGTCAGGTGATATGATCGGAAGACATACTTGTCCCTTTTCGTCAACATTTGGGTGGTAAATCTTCGTCAAAAATGTGATTTTGGGCGGTTTAAACGGATATTCTACTGGAAAATCTATAGCTACTTTAAATGCTCCCTTGTTGTATGGCTCTTTATCCTGCAAATAATGCAACCCATAATACAAAAAAAGAAACCACTACACTCCGTTAATACTTCATGAATTTGCTGCTGGTTTCCAGTGATCTTATTATAAATACACAAGATATCTATGAAAAGCATTTTCACTGGTTAATCCTAAAGTCGGCAGTATCACTTATTTAATATTACACATACCGGAACAAGGAGACCAGTCCAGTGCAGCAAATTATTTTCATCAAATTCAACACAGCAGAATGTCCTCGAATCAGATGACTGAATATCTGTTAGTTCCTACAAAAGGATTTAATATGCTTAATACAACAACGGCTAAAAATCAATAAGAAATACACAACTACACACCAAGCAAACAATCATTAACATCTTTAAAATTAAATAATTTCCATTCTTCGCCCTTAAAAGTGATGAAATGGAAGTAGCTGCCAACGCAAAAAGAACACATTCCAAAAACATGATGACAGCCAATTATGCAAACTGAAGCTATAAACAGCTTACCAAAAAGTTATCAGCACTGTGATCGTTACAACTGCAAAAACAAATTAAAATTTATTTGGATTCGAAAAAAAAACAAACGAACTTTTTTCAATCGGCGTGATGAAGAGGCCATTTTTGAGTAAAATCGGTGTAAACCCTGAATAAATTGATTGTAAACAGATAAATCAAACCGCTTTTCGCAAATGAACTTAATTAAGCATTACTTTTTGACACTTTTCATTTTCAAAATTATCCACTTCTGTCCCGTGAAAACTGTGGCATCCATTATTTTTTTCTCCGAAAATATTTCTCAGAAACATTAAAAGTCTATTTTACTTCACTCCCACTACGACAGATGGAGAGACAGAAGATTTCAATAATTCGATTACTGTATGCGAACAATTCTTACATATGTTCCTTAAAGATTTTTAGCAAAAACATGGAAAGAAAAGATTTGTAATGCTGAAATAAGGCGATGACTGCATCCCAGAAATCAAAGTGGTGCAAATTGAAATGATTTAGAATTTTTAATAAACATCAAATGCATGACATACGTCTGTTATTTGTAACAGAAATTAAACGAGAAAGCAATGCTCACATAGTTTTCATCATCTTCGCATCAGATTAAGGAGTAATTCTTGAACAGTGTACAAAATTATAACATAGAAACGTGACTAAACAAGCGCTCGTCAACTTTTCAGCTTACCAAAAACAATCCACTCGACCAACCCCAAGAAAAAGTCAGGTAACAATTACCAAACCCCGTGACATACTAATAAGTCTGCTTCTCATTTCAACGGCCCATCTTAACAGGATACTATGAAAACTTCAATTCCGATATGGCGGAAAAGAGCAAATTACAAATCGAATGAATTTTATATTTTCTTTTTCTTTTATTAAGAAGTTTTGACAGATGTTATGATGGAAAAGTTGGTTGGAAATACTGCAATTGAAATGAATTCGTCTCGAGTTCTATAATCACTGTAGTATATTCATTCGGTTTTTGTAATAAATGCGGTTCAGTGTTAGCATCTTGAAAAGCTTTTGAAGTAAGATTCGTGTAAGTATTGCATGTAATGGTTTAGGAGTGGTGCAAGGAGTGGCTCTCTGCTAATGATTGCAGCCATCCGGAAATTTACTGGAAAAAGTTTGCATCACGGAATGTTTCTTATTCTCAAATATTTCTTAAAGGCAGTCAGATTTCTGATCGAGTAGGATGGACATAGGTCGATTTTAGTAGAATGTAAAGAATGTCTGGCTGGTGTAGATATAAAATATTGTATAACTAAAGATTGTGAATATTAATTATTATTAATAAAGTATTAAAATGAGAGCGACGACTCAGACTCGAAAAAATGATAAGATTAATAGGAGACCCCAGAGATAAGTGATATATCGATTAAAATATTTCTGGAATAAATTTAGTTTTGTTATTATGTAATATAAACTGAAAGAACTTGAATTAGGAAAATCAATCACTTACTTACAAAGCATTTTATAAACTTCAATATTTTAAAAATATTTTCTAGATTCATTATTGTAGTGTAAGATTTTGTCAATTTTGCTAATATTTCTCAGACTTAACCGTCTTATTGTGGGGTATTCCCAATTTAAATACTTGATTATAAAATATTTTGTGAATTTAATTACTTTTCAAAGCGTTGTATATTGTTGTATTGCGATGCTATTGAAATGTAATTATTTTTCTAAAACGATACGTCAAGTAATAATTTTGCTTTCAGGAAAAGTACCATTTCATTCCTTACAACAAGCTAATTAAATGGATAGTAGTGTTATAGTTTCGAAAATTACCGATTCAGAAGGAACACATGTACAGAATGAATTCTATCGCTTCATCAATGAGTAAAAAAATATTTTTTTTTTCTACATGTCAATTAGTTTTATTTATTCCTTAGACAATATAATGGAATTTTTCGATTTCGGGATTTCAAATAGTATAGAATTTTCGATATGAATCAAATAGGATTTATTTAAATTTCATCTCGTATATGTCTTACGAAATATCGAACGAAAATTGTTTCCCAGATTCGAAGACCCGAATGGAACGCTTATCTATAAGGAGGATATTCCACATTTGTATCATCCAGAACGCAATACACTGTTTGTCCAATTCGACGATATTTTCTCCTTTAGCAATACGCTTGCATCAGCACTTGAATTACAGTTTTATAGGTAAATTTTATTTTCATCTTTATACGATCATGAAATTACTTTGAAAGTATTTGAAACTCTAAAGTGTTGCAGGTTATATCCATATCTGTGCAAAGCATTGCACTTAACTATTATGGATGGTTGCAACGATGATAATATCAAACAACGAATGCAACGAAAAGAATTTTATGTTAGTATTGGACAAATTAGAAATAAACTCAGGTATTGTTGATTTCGTTTACCTTTGAAGCTCTGTTTTATTCTCTTTTCGGAAGAAAAGTTTGAGGGGAAACAATATTATGACATCAAAAAATAACATTCCGAAAATTTGCATTCTAATATCTAATATTTGTCCTCAATTTAGAGTTCGTGAATTGACAGCTAGTAAAATTGGCGCTTTGACGTGTATTTCGGGACAAGTAGTGCGAACACATCCAGTTCATCCTGAGCTTCATAAAGGTGTTTTCATTTGTGATGACTGTGGATCAAGAGTTAAAAACGTTGAGCAACAATTTCGCTATACACCGGTATTATTTTCTATCAAGATTTACAATTCGCTGTTGATACATTGCTGAGTTGAAAATTTGATGTAAACTATAATACATAACTTTTTTGGTTCACTTTATATTTAACGAGTTCTTGGGTAAATTACGCATTATCAATGTATTAACTTTGGTAATATCTTATCAAAAAGAGGTAGATTTGCAGCCGGCACAGTGCGCAAATCAACAGTGCAGTAATCGTGGTCGTTTCCAGTTGGATATCTATGAATCATCATTTATCGATTTTCAGGTATTTCCGAATATCTGATTTTTTTAATGTTTTCTGGACGGCTCTGAAGAGCTAGTTTCTTTTTTAGAAAATACGTATTCAAGAGACCCAAGCGGAGTTGCCGCGAGGTAGTATTCCGTTGAGTTTGGATATTATCTTACGCGGTGAACTCGTTGAAACTATACAACCGGGTGATCGTTGCGATTTTGTTGGTGCTCTGATTGTCATTCCGGACGTAGCTCAGCTGAGTGCGCCAGGTGTGTAGTTTTTTATTATTAAATTCAAATTTTAAATTTGGTTTGCATGAAGAACTGTTCAAATGTTTCATTTTAAGGTCTTCGAGCAGAAGCTTCTCGTCGTAACCGACGTCGTGGTATAGGAAACGAGCAAGAAGGTATTACTGGCCTGAAGGCTTTGGGCGTACGAGATATGAACTATAAATTGGCATTCCTAGCATGTAATGTCACAACTTCAATTCCTTCGGTTCGGTGCTGATCATATGCTTACTATTTCTTATTTAGTAATCTATAATTGATATGTTTTTCAAACGAAATTTCATGCTAAGTGCTCGAAAAAGATTTTTAAATAAAAAATTTGGGTTGGATTTTTTTCATAGTCTTTTTTTCAATAAGTAAAGGTTTTCGTGATTGAAAATTTTCAGCAATTATTTGTGCAAAAAAAAAGCTGAATGATGTAAGATGAAATTAGTTTATTAATCATCGTTTTACTTCCAGTTTGGTAGTCGAGTTCTCGCACGTGAAGATTTGGATCATAATGAATTGTGGTCTCAATTGTCTGAAAATGAAAAGAAAGTGATGCGTAAAATGAGTGAAGATAAATCAATTGCCCAGAATCTTATTCATAGCTTATTTCCAGATATTTATGGGAATGACGAGGTTATTTATATTTAATATTTTATTGTATAAATTTGACTAGCATTCGTTTTTTTTTTGTCTCAAAATATTATTTGTAGTGAAAGTCATAGTTTTGTTTGAAACAAAGCTTTATAAGTCTTAACTAAACTTTTGGGTTGGAAAAAAAATAAGAAACTTTGTTCTAAATATTAGTCTTGATTACAGGTGAAACTTGGAGTGCTTTTGATGCTTTTTGGTGGTGTTCAGAAACGAAGTGAAGGAGAAGGGACTACGTTACGTGGTGATATAAATGTTTGTTTGATTGGTGATCCAAGTACAGCGAAAAGTCAAATTTTGAAGTTTGTTGTTATCATTTAAATTAAATGTCTATTGACAAGTATTTTTCCTTACTCATTAATCAGTTATTGTAATTTTAGAACAGTGGAACACTTTTCACCGAGAGCGGTTTATACTTCCGGCAAGGCATCATCAGCAGCTGGTTTAACAGCAGCAGTTGTTAAAGACGAAGAGTCATTTGAATTTGTTATTGAAGCGGGAGCTTTGATGCTTGCAGACAATGTTTGTTTTAAAATATGTTCTGATTTGAATAATTTGTTATTTAGGCAAAAGGGGAAAAATTCGAAATTAAAGATGCTAATTTCAGTCAGTAAAATCTGAGAGATTTTAATGATTTCTAGAGAATAAGAGTTCCAGGGTGTTTGTTGCATTGATGAATTTGACAAGATGGATGTGAAAGATCAGGTTGCAATTCATGAGGCTATGGAACAGCAAACCATATCAATAACAAAAGGTGGAAAAACAACAATTTTTTCTATCTGGATTATTTAAGCACAAACATTTCCAATGCTATCGAATATATTCCCAGTAAGGTGTAGGATAAAACTATGATTTTATTTATTTAGCCGGCATAAAAGCGACACTGAATGCTCGTGCTTCAATTCTAGCAGCAGCAAATCCGGTTGGTGGCCGTTACGATCGGTCACGACCATTAAAGAATAACATACAGCTTTCTGCACCTATTATGTCAAGATTTGATCTTTTCTTCGTCTTAGTTGATGAATGCAATGAGGTAATGTGGTATGCTTTTAGTTGCTCTGAAAAGTGACGAGAGGTGAATATAATTGCTTTGTTGATGTTTCGATGATTTGACGATTTCAAGCCTGAATTTCAATTGAAAAATTTAGTGGTGATAAGAAGTATTTTCGTTTTTCGCAGTTTTCTAATTTGTCAATTAATATCATCAATTGATGATGTTTGCGTTGTTTGTCAGATCGTAGATTACGCTATAGCTCGTCGCATATTGGACACTCATCGT